TGGTAAGGTTTATTTGTAGTGAATATAATAACAGTTCAAGCATAACTTGGGTATAATTCAGACAATTGGATTATGTGATGTTAATGATGATTCGAAATCGGAAAAGAATAACGAGGTCGAAAGAAAACATTGTTGTGCGTGTAGATAAAAGAGAATATGTCCGGCCTACCGGTTTTAGAAATTCCTCCTTATGCGCAGGAAGTCTGTTTACTATAATCCATGAAGTCAGACCGATTGACTCCAAGATGACCTTTAGAATATGATTTGAGATTCTTTAGAATGTATCGACATTAACCCTAAATTTGATAATCGACATGAGTTGATTTACAACATCTTATAATACGAGTTTGAACACATATTTATAATATCGATAATATCTAAGCAAAAGCGTATATGACCTCCATGATGACCCTGATGGAGCTTATCAAAACTCCTCTCCTATATTTATATATGTTTAAAAATGGTATATTTTTTCTGCCGCAGATGTGACATCTATATAAAAAATATATAAAAACACGCTCCCATTCGAATGCCATGTCATGCCAAAATTTTAAAGGAATCGGTGAAAATTTTTTCGGAGATTTAAAATAACAAAGAGGCGAACATTTACACTTTTATTTGTATAAATTACGGTAATCATTCCATGTTAATCACTGTTATTCAACAGATATTGTAGAAGCGCATTTTTTTAGTTCCATCGTAATTCGTCAAACTTAATTCCGCAAATGGCATAAATAGCATATTCGTCCAAAGCTGACTTGATACAAACGATAATCATTCCGTAATTTTATCATCATGGCTAGACAAAGATTGATTATTCTTATTAATTTTTAAATTTTTAATTGCAATAAAATTTTTAATTACTTCCGCCTCCTCTGCTCCACTTTCAAGTTCATTCTATGTGAAAGCTATTGATATTATTATTTTCTTCAAAAAAGCAAAAAAATTAAAGGTTGCACTTAATTTGACAAGTAAATCTATCGAAAGCTGCTTATTCGAAAGCTGTGTAAGCTGCTTATTCAAAATCTAAGCTTATATTTAAGGGAAAACTACGGTTTTGATTTCAGCAGAATAGTTTGACAGATGTAGTTATTGAAGACCAATAGATTTCGTTTCGCATTTTTTTTATTTTATTTTTTTCCAAAAAACGAATTCCTTTTGTCTTGATAAACAGCATAAATTTTAACTTGCATTCTGACGATAATTCGCAACGAAATGAAAAAGGGTCGTTTGAGAACAATCGAGAATTAATGGGCTTGACAAGATGAATTTTTGTCCCCTAATCAGGTTCTTTTCTGATTATTCCGGTATTACTATCGTAATAAATATGTAAAAAGGATGAAGAGAAGAAGTGCTTTTATTAGTGCACTTGAAATTACTTGAGATTACACCGCGACACTTTAAGGTATTTGCTAAAGCGATGTTTTCATTCATATGAAGGATAAAAGACGACAGGATGTGGGATTTACTTTCGTCTTTTAGATGAAATGTGTAATAATCGTGGTGGTAACCATGTGAAATGATAATGATAGTGATAGATGTGTAAGGTGAATGGTTCTATTTACATTCTTGGAATTATTTTAGATTACACTCTAAGCTACAAAGCGTTGAGTTACACATCATTCCGCCTCTTATCCTCTCTTTATCTTTCCCAATCATCCATTTGAGCTGCCCACTATAAGCCATAAAATAAATTTTTATACCATTATTGGACACTTCAATGCTTCCATTGATACCACTTGTTCAATAATTTTCCCACTTTCTTTTCCTTTCAAAAACTAAGAATTGATGATAATCACTTTGATGAGATTGCTTTTTAATCAGTACACAGTTTCGCATTGTTTACTTTTTATAGCAGTTTTTACTAGTTCATAAAAAGGGATTGCATTTTTAATCCAACTGCTCATTCTTTGTCTTGTCAAATCCAATTTTGCAAGGACTAGTTGAATTATTAGTAAAGTTAGAATTGTTCCGAAAACAACCAAATCTAAATTTCGATTGAATTGATTGAAAGAAACTAAAAATGATTAATAGAAAACAAAGTATTACCTGGAAATAAATACCTTTTTAAGTAATGCTTCTAGCTACAAAAAAGTTTTTTCACAATATATATATTGATAGAAGTTCAATTACTATTGATTTTATAAAACTGTCTATTGGTCATATAAAATCTCATCCAGTCGACTGTGATCAGCAGGTTGCTTTGAAGATTTTTGTTATTCATTTTCAAAAGCACACACATCAGTTGAAATTCTACCGCTGTTATTTTGCACTTGATCTTCAGAGATTGAAATAAGTTAGGAATTTGACGCTTTGCTTGTTTACTCCCTCAATTCTATGTGATTGAAAACAAATCTGATGGAAGGAATGAAATTTTCACAATTTCTTTCTTTTTTGCTATAATGAAAAAAGCGACAAATAGGAAAACACTTTTTTTCAACTAGCATTTTCAACTATCAAACATTATCTCTGTTAACTTAATCTTTGATATCAACGGGTAAGGTGAGATATCCTAGATGAAATCACACTTTTTTGAAATGAAATTGGATATGTATTTTGCCTGAAAATTACTAATGACAATGAAATGAAATTCCAGAATGACCAGGTGAAATTAAATTTCACATTTAGCTTGTTGTCATTATTGGAAAGAGATGCTAAAACATGACATTATCAAATTAGTTTGATAGGAAATTATTTTGAAAAATGTTAGATCAGTTCTCCAACAAATTAATTTTTCAGCACAATTTTTTGATTCACTTTTAATAAAATGCTTCAAAATTGTTACCATCTGTAATCTGGCAAGCCGATTAGCTTCCAATTGTAATAACCCAATAATAACAAATTTAATAGAATCCCTTCATTCTCTGCTCATTTAAAGTCTTCCTAAAATAGTCAATTACATTTCCTATGTTTTAACAAGCATATAATAACTTTTATGGATGCATAATTTGACTTTTTTCATTATTCGAACATTCACTTAACTACTAGTAATTAAAAATAAAAAATGCAATATTGTAGAATCTGCGACATTTTCCTGCTTTAAAGTTTCCTTAATATTTTAGAAATTCCTTAAAATTGTTATTGAAAAAACCATTTAAAAGTATTGCTCCATTAAATAAAATTTGTTCATTTTGGAATGTTATGATATAAATTTTTCCAAAATATTTTCAATATCAGAGGCATTTTGCTGATACATAATTTTTAAAAGTACATAATTCATAGGAAACCATAAACCAAATACAGCAAAAATGTAAAGATTTTTTTTTAGGATTTCCGAAATCATTTCTTAAAAATCATATTTGGCCTGGGATCATCGGATTAATTCTTAATTTACTTTCGAATAAATCAAAATTCCCTAAAAAAATATACTAATTCAAAATTGACGGCATAAATTTGCATTAAATCATATAAACTCATTAAAAATAAATTAGTCGGAAAGGAATGCTTTTCCGTTGCTAAGTGCATAATCAGAGGATAATTTCTAGATCATAATCATAAAAGTTTAGCAAAGAAATTGGTATGATGGATCAATTTGAATGACAGTTTCAAATCGAGTTATTTAGATAAAAAGAATATTTCATTCATTCTACGTTCCAATTATAATTAATGGATGAATCATTTGCAGGTGCGCTGGGATTTTCTATTTCCGCATCTTACGAAAGATATTTCAAAAACATTTCATCTAACGTTCATTTTTGCGTCCTCTCACTTTTCTCTCTGTCGTCAAATAACATTTTCTTGAACACTCAGTGAAATGTATTTTAACTTTCGAAATAAAAATTTTTTTTGAATCAGAAATATGCCATTGTATTTGTCATCACTGTTATGCTATTCTGTTTTTTTTTTTATTCATTGTTTTTCCAATAGACTTCTGGACTAATCCTTTAACTTTGCTTATTTCTCATTAGGAGAATATTCACAATGTAAAAAGAAATTACAACAAATTCAAGAATAATATTCAAGCGAAAGCTAATGAGCTAAGTTTTTTCATTATAACTTCATGTCACTTAATGCCACCTGATGTAATAGTCCCAAGATAAGCTTATTGTGGTTTAACTCCTTTGATCATTTAAATTATTTGTTAATAAAATTTCAATGATTGCACATTGGGAAAAGTAAAGTAAAAATTCGATGAAAAATGTAATCTAAAAGATAAAGTCAATCAAAAGCTTCAAAAAAGAAAAAAAAGAAAAAACTAGATTTTTCAATTAAAATGGAAAAAATTTTTTTCTGTATTTTGTAATTTCCACCCTTAATTTCCTGAAAAATTTCGAGAATTGTTTTGCAAGCATTAAACAGACTACTTGTATCAGTGCCAACTATCGAAAAGTACCGGAATTAAGCGATGGATCATCATTGTCAATTAAGATTGTGTTGTCAATGTTGTTTTAATCATAAATTTTTCTTCAACTTTCACAATTTTGAAAGATTGCAAGGATTTGAAGAGGCAAAATTGTTTTCCATTTAGTAAAAACCATGGATTACTAGACCAGCTTAAAGTAATTCTGTGATAGGGCAAAGATTTAAAACATTTGCAAGCGAAATTCAATTAAATAAAGGGCAACAATGGGAATGTGAAACGATAAGAAATGAATAATAAGGAAGCTAATTTTTCCTCTCAAAGCTCCAGAAGACATACCTACTAAATTTCTACTTCTTTTTTTTTCATTTATATTTATAGTCGCAAGTAATTTAAATGAAGAGATAATACAATGAATAGTTTTTAGTTTACTCAGTAAGGATGTCAACATTGATAACCAAAATATCGCAAAATTCATCTTAAAGAAATTATATCCACTCACATGAATTCTTCTTTAAGACGAAAAATTTTTCATAAATTATAGTAAAATTCGACTTAATTTTAGAAGGAAGGGACTTTTTGAAAAGATTTATAATAACGAAATTTCTTCTCATCATATAAGTCGCTATTTATTTCAAACTCATTCATGAACTTTGGAAGGAACGAAATAAGACAAACAGTTTGGCGATTAAATTTTTATTCATATTTTAATACATTTTTAATATATAAATATTTTATGAAGGAAATGGTCTAATTACTCCAATTACTGGCAATTGATGCAGCACTGTTAGATGGTTATTCATAAGCTGAAAAAAAAATGTTTTTGCGAACATTCGTATTCTTCCCTGGCAGAATCAAAGTGGAATTTATTGAATTTCCAAAGATCTGTCAGTCATAGTTACATCTTCAAGTGCTGGATGTGGACTTCGTGGAATGTATCGCTTCTCGAAAATCAAGAAGAGAACGCTATGAAGTTTGAAATAACTAGGAGAAACAAGAGGGCTTTTTAATTAAATGTGCCGAAGAGAGAGAGAGAGAGAGAGAGATTTTCTCTTCCTATTCTATCCATTTCCTTCTTTCATTTCTCTTTTATCACTTATATTAGCTATGTTAACCACCGTTCAAGGCGAAAATGATGTATTTATGTTAGCTGCCTCTAGTAATATATCAACACATCTTTGTACAAATTCTTGTTTTTGTTTTGCTTTCTTTTTTTTCAGTGACAAAAAATAGATAAATCATCAGAAAGACGCTTCTCCTTATGTGCTTAATTCATTTATTTTTGTTCTTGGGACTTGAACAACAAAATAAATCATTTTTGTTCAAAAATATTAAAAACATGAAATCCAAAGCCAAAGATTCTTAGTGCCATGTAATGAACAGATTGATTTGATTGAAATATGTTTGGAATTTAGTTCTGCTCCTTCTCATAAACTTATTATTACAACTTTCTTACTTGGTAATTGTCCTGTACTTCGAAAATTCCCAATGTTACATTAATCTCATAGACTTATCAGGAAAGTAACCGAATTTCCAAAAGTTCTTAAATGCGTTAATCGAAAAATGTACCATTTCCCGTTTTATTTCTATGGATTTTGTAGTAATTTGACTCGGTCATAATTATAAACTACAATACTATTAATAATTGTGTTGCCTATTACAGATCAGCAAGTGTTTTAAGATATTTAAAAACATTACTTCCAGATTTTCGTCTTCATGATAAGGATATATGCGCTATTTATTATCATTATCAGCCGTCGTCATTATCCCTATTATTATGCGTGTGAAAATGACAATACACGGATGCATAGCTGTCTTGAGTGCATCATTATTTTACAACATGTCGAGTCTGGAAACAGTTGCTTAAGAATCAGAAAATGACATTTCTTTTGTCTTCCTTCTACTACTCATTTTCAAGCATTTCATCCAAAACATTTTTTCACTTCCTCGTCTATTCAATATTCAATTTCTTACTGAAATAAAAAAACTTTTTTTTTTCACAACATTTTACATGTCGGATTTAGAAATAGTTGGAAAACGCAGATGACAGTAAATTAGTAAGAAGTGGACGTTTGGGTATTTCGACCGGGAAGAGATCAAAAATTAAATCCCGAAGGTATTTGATGTAGAAAATTATAATTTTTAAAATTAAGTAGAAAGCTCAAATTTCAGTTTTTGAGCTATTGCACGATATCTGTGATATAAGAGAACCTGGTCTGATTGGGGATTGCTGCGTATTAAACGAAGTGAAATTAAGAATTGCTGTTTGGTTTACTTTCCCAATAACGCGTGACTCTTTTTGCCATTGTATAAAATTTAATTCTTTTTAGAACCTAAAAGTAGGAAAATTATGAAAAAAGACTTGAAATTATACTCATAATTCAAATCCATTAAAAATTTGAAACGATATAGGTTGTACATATATAAGTTAGATTTGGAAGCTAAAACATTCCTTTTTTTGTGAAGTAATTTCATCAACAGAGAAATCTGACGTCAGCTTTCAATTTAAAGAACAAGGAAACATTTTTAAATTCTCTTTCTGCCTTGGATGTCCGCTTCAACAAAAAAACTCCGTTTCCCAACAATAGTTGCTTAATTTTTAGCGTCTTTCATATCCATCATATTTCCTTTCAGAAATATATGGAATGATCTTTAACAACGAACTGCTATTCTATCGCATTTCTCGAAGTCATTTTCTTCCAGTTGTGATTCTTCCTTTTATTGATCTCCCCAATATATGTGAAATTTATCTCGATACTGATTCATATTCTTCCCTACACTGATAATGCTAAACATTAAACTGGATTTTCTTCTGAGAGAATTAAGTATTTATATGCAAAATGTTAAGTCGATTTATTTATAAAAGACATGTTCCCAACTAGGCTTATAAAATAGCCTAGCCGATATGTCAAATAACATAACCATTCTTGCAGGAGATGACAGCTAGAATGACTGGTGCAAAAAGAATTTGAAGTATAATTCATAAAAATTCGGGATTGAGCACATTTCCGCGGAAATGTTTTACGCAGTGCAGAAAAGAGATAAAGCTCATTTAATTGAATAAGCTTTCAGAGATGGCACTTAGCGCGGCACGTCAACAGTCATCCAATCTGATGCAATTCAATGAGGATATCATTAAGCAGGTATAATGCCGCTCCTTTCATTACTCTCTCATTTTTCAACACAATAATCGATCTTTTATAGTAGTAAAATATTTCGTGAGAAATCAAACTTAGAGACATTCTTTAAAATGCTTTCTCATTACTCTAAAATAAGCTATCGATTTAATTTGCTTAAATTTCGAGATAAGCATTTCATGTGGAGATGAAGTTGGGAGTAATAAATTTGTATTCCTTATCAATATCCTTGGAATTTATTGAGAGAGTTGTAAAAATAAACTCATAAATACACCTTTTTTTCAATATTACCATAAATATTTTGAAATTTTTAAGCCAAATAAAATTGTTAAAAAATTGAAATTCCACGTCGAGTTCCACATTCACGTGTGTCTTCCGCACCCAGCTGAGTCTGTTATTCTCATATATGAAAGCTTGAAATCATCGAACCATTCAGTTCACCTCCGATCAGATATTATCACATTTCGATAAATGACACTATGGTGTTAAAGTTGATAGAAGATTTCGTTTGAAACGTCAGTGGATGATTTGAATCAATGTATTTTACCGAAGAGTCTATGCAAAAAAAAAAAAAAGAATTATAGCTAACAGCTGAAGAAATCGATGAATTCCGCGAAGCATTTATGATGTTTGATAAAGATGGTAATGGAACTATTTCTACTAAAGAATTGGGTATTGCGATGCGATCATTGGGGCAAAATCCTACCGAACAAGTATGTGAAATCTTTTTTTATGGAAGTTGCACGGACATGAAAAAAGTTATGAAAAATTAGGTCTCAAATTGTTCACTTGTTGATTTCGCATTAATTTTTTTCTTGCTAGCGCCGCGGTCAATTGTATCGTGTTCAAAATTCAATTTAATTTGGTTTTGATATCCTCCTTTGTGACACTGATCACTCGATAAGCAAGACATAATGTGTTCTTTCAACTGATCCTTACGCGATTCCTTCCAAAGATCAACTCACTTTTGCGGGTGAAACGTCGGAAATGATATTTCGTATTCCTACTTTACATCATTTTGTTTAAATTGATGATTTAATCTTCAAATATCAATTAACGGCAAGTTTGAAAATGAATTAAGAAGGGTGCTGATGAGTGTCACAAGAAAGGAACAACAGGTAAATTCTTATCCCAAATTAAACATCATGTCTAATTATGTTACAGGAAATAATGGAAATGATTAATGAAGTAGACATCGATGGTAATGGACAAATCGAATTTACTGAATTTTGCGTAATGATGAAGCGAATGATGAAGGAAACAGATTCGGAAATGATCCGGGAAGCATTCCGAGTCTTTGATAAAGACGGAAACGGTGTTATTACAGCTCAAGAATTCCGATATTTCATGGTAAATTGGGCAGATTTTTATATAAATCATTGATTTTTTAAAATAATTAATCATGTAGTTCGAAGTAATACAACAATTAAGGGACCAAAGATTTCAGGAAAATTTTGGATCTTCCACCCAAAATTTGAAAATAAATTTCTTATGTTTGAAATGACTAATTAGTTGAAATAGTCGATATCCGGCTATGCTCTCATTGCTTGCACTAATAAAAGTTTCTGATTCATCCATTTGCACTTTACTGCATTGCATAATTCAAGCCACAAAATAAACTTGTCTTTTTCTCTGTTCTACCAATTTCGATGGTCTCTTTGATAAATCTTGAATGTGGAAAAAAAAAAGAAAAGCATTATTTTTGGAATAACCATTATTTCAGGTTCACATGGGTATGCAGTTCAGTGAAGACGAGGTTGATGAGATGATCCGAGAAGTTGATGTAGATGGTATAACTTTGAAGCTGAGTTCATCTTAAAAAAAGAAAACAATTTATTTTTTTATCTTTCCAAAATTTCAGTGGATTGGTTTGAAATTTTTAAAATTTCATTTCTAACTGATTTTTTATTTATTTATTTCTTTAAATTTTTGAAAATTTTTTCTAACAATGAATACTGCCTTTTCTTTTACTATTACATATTTATTTCGCAGGAGATGGTGACATTGATTATGAGGAATTCGTAAGAATGATGACTGATCGATAACAATGATAGCAGATTCATAACAACTTTCTATTACCATTCTTTCATTTCCAGAAATTGTTTCTGAGACTAAATAACGACATTAATTCTACCAAACGATATAATTATCGTTATTTATTGATCTCGCCTCATTCTACTACACTTTTTTCTACTTTGTCTCTTCGGTTAAACTTCACTTGAAGGTTGTGCAAGTAGTGTGAAATAAAGCTCTCCCATAACTCTTCCAGAGGTTATTAGAGATAGATCTACTACTTAAATGATAAAAAGACAAAAGTGACTGATAGATAAGAGCGGAGAGGACTCTGTTCTGTTTTCTACTAAGAAAGTAACTTTTTGACGCAGAATGTATTCATATAACTTTTGGTTATCATTTGAAATTCATTGTGATGGAAATTGTAAGGACTGAAATTTGAATTCACCTGAGAACTTCTACATTCAGCATGTCCAGATCTAATATATATCATCAAGACTGATATTTTGGTATTTCAAAATTGGCGTAAAAGAATTCCTTTAGGTGCTACAGGAATTTTAACATTTCAAAACTGTGAAATTTCACTTACACCTTTTAAGACTGATCACATACCGCGTAATAACATCATCACTGTATAATTGAGGGCACTAAATGAGCGAAATAAATAGTAAAAATAGTTCTTTAGAAGATCTTGAGAGAAGTTATAATTTGAAGATAAAAGTACTTGGGCCAGGTTATTAAATATATTAACCCTTTAGAATTTTCAATTTTTATTATCCATACTTCAATGTATAAGTTTAACTTTGCATAAACTGTTCCAAAAGTGCATTCCATAATCGGATTTCCTTTTTTTTTGTAGTTCCACTTTTTTTATGAGAATGCATGCTTATAGAAATCATTTATACTAATGATGTTATGACTAATTAACATAAAGTTTTAAAATTCTCAATTCAACTCCTGAAGTTCAAACATCCGCTTATTATTATCATAATTATGCAAGGTAATAACTTATTTGTTTGTGATTTCTGAGTGCAACACTTTATCTGAGTATTAATTACTTCTCCAAGAGTATTTATCAATGTCGATTACTTTGCAAGAGATTTAAAATCTCTCCGAATTATGAGTCCCAAAACCTTTCGTACTGTTTCAACATGTAGTATGATGTACATTTTTATTTTTGCTTTCACATAATCTATACATATATTGAGGTGAATCCATTTATTGGATATCTTACATTCGAGGTATTTTGCGATTATCGAAGTGTTAATTTGCATTTGGAAATTTTTTTCAGCTTAAAGCGGAGTTTCATTTTATTGTGCTACGTATAACTTATCTGAAACCTTAAACTAATTCCAAATTTGATCTGATCTTTGCCATAAATCTTGGCAACTTTTTTAAAAGATCTTTATGCGTCTTTTCATTTTTTGACAAGATTGAAGGAGCATCTACGTTGAATCTCGTGAGATTCGCGTACTATTCCGAAATCCAAAATAAATAAAGGATTATATGTCAATTGAATGGTCTATTTAATTCTAAAAGTTAGCGCATTTGTATTTGATACTATAATATATACCCCATCTAAGGTTTTAGGAATTATACCAATGTAATTTTTCTAGGCATGCCCTGGATGGCAAAATCACCTGAATTTGCTTGAATCGATTACATGTCAATTAACAACAAACTTAATAAAGCTGTCTGATTAATGAAGATAAAAATGAGCATATTAAAACATGGAAATTATTGAAAGATATCTTTGATATAGATGTTCAGATCGTTTCAGTAATATATATTATCTTCAGATGAAGAGTTCTAATGTTGAAATATTATTGTCCATGAAGTCTAATGAAGCAAATCTGTAAAGAGTTACTTTTAGTAATGAACAACAAGTTCAAGTTTATTGTATTCCAAAGCGAATGTTTATAAATTTAAAATTACTTATAAATTTTTGAGTGCTTATTGCTATTTTCACAGACTAATAATTAAAAAAGATTTGTCTCTGGTGAAGCATAGAGGAAATATTTCCAAAGAAAAATGTAAATTTAATCCATGTTTGTATATTTTATGCAAATTTCTTAATTGAAAATATTTCGCTACATGCAGAGTGCTTAGTATTAAAGGAACATTCAGATTTTTAGATTTGATGATTAATATGAAAATTTCTTTTCACTAATTATTCCATAAAAGAATAATTATTGAATGTTTAAAATTATTGTTATCCGACGTATCAATTTATGTAGTCAGACATAATCGCGTGATGAGTTTCGATGTTGACAATCTTATTGATCGTCTACTGTCAGTTGGATTAAGCGGTGGTACCGCGCTTACCAAATGTGTTTCTGAACAAGAAATTAGTCTGTTTTAAGTTGCAAAAATCGATCTTTTTTCAGAAATGAGTGTAATCAAAAAATAAAAATTAAAAACTGAAAATTATCAAAAATTGAAAAATATGTAATAAAATTCAGGAAAAAGAATATTTTCTACCTGCAAATAACAACAAAGTTGGTCAATGAAGATATTTTAGCTCTTAATGTTACTTCTAAATAACGTCTTCCATAATTACTTTATAATGATGACGCTTGGTAATTTATACTAATTCAAGCAATTATTCTTCCGCTAATCACTTCCTCCTTACTTAATCCTATTCTGAACCTGCAAATTCGGTACATCCAAAGAAAAGATTATCCCATTTTTCTGGACAGTCATTAACCTTATGGTGCATTGCTTTTAGTATCACTACTTGGCACTGCCCGACAAATCTTTCTTTCTCAACCACCTCTGATCGAAATCGAACCACCCGTTAAAGTAATTTTGTTTTCTGAGATAATCACAAAGATCCAAATCACAAGTTAACAAGCAGTTACATCAATCATTTCACTTCCACATAGCGATCGATAAATTTGCCAATAAAAAATCTGTTTTCATAGTATTTGTATATTGTATGTATGCGTGTTTTCCTTCTTATCTATCTCGCAACTTTAAATTTTTTCCATTTTCATTCAAATTAACTGCCTAAAAAGTAAAAGAAAAAATGATGAGAAATTTATGAAATATTTCAAGAGAAGATTTGTTACTTTTCAAGGTTTGTGGGGATTTACATGGACAATATGCCGACCTACTTCGTCTATATAATCGCTGTGGTTTCCCACCCGATGCTAATTATATCTTCCTCGGTGATTATGTCGACAGGTGATTAGCTAGTTTATCCTTCTGTACAGCTTCACTTGGATATCTTCTTGCCTTTGAATATCATAAAGTATATTGCGTTACTAGAAGTTAAGTATGAAGGACTAAAAAGCGTTCCTAGCCAACAGACTAGGCCAACTATCAAAGTTCATATTATCAAATTTGCACCTATCACATCACCCTGTGTCACGCCACATCACGCAATACGATGTATCGCATGATGCGACATGACATGATGCGACTACATTGTGGGCTGATCACTTGGTATTCTGAACTGTTATTTGATCTTTTCGTAGGTAAAATATGAATTTTCAAGAATTCAAAATAATGTGTATGCATCGGATCTTCGTCAAAATCAAAGAATTGCAGAGGTAAACAAAGCTTAGAAACAATTTGTTTGCAATTCTGCTATAAAACGAAATATCCGGAAAATTTTTTCTTGTTGCGTGGAAATCATGAATGCGCTGCAATAAATCGCGCTTATGGCTTTTATGATGAATGCAGTCGGCGTTACAGCATACGCTTGTGGCAGATGTTTCAGGTATTCTAATTAATTAGCATATGATTGCTAGCAAGGCATGCTTTCTTGTGAACTAAGCTTGTATGTTAATTTGTGAGAAAATCAGTTCACCTAGAATTTCATAAATCGTGCATAGCTTACGTGTCAAAATCGCTGCTTAATTTCTACAAAAAAACAAAGCAAATGAAATTGAAATACCCAAATCCAATTTGAGGCAAGTATGTTTCCAACTTTTTCCTTTACTTTCTTTTGAAATTTCCAGTTGACTATTTGTGCACATCTAAAATTAATTGGTATTTCAGGACGTATTCAATTGCCTACCATTTTGCGGTCTGATAGCGGGAAAAATATTTTGCATGCATGGTGGCTTGTCACCAAAGTTGAACAGTTGGGATCAGGTTAATTAAATACTTCATTAAACGAGATTTAACACCATCGGATTTTTTTATGCTGTCTAAAAATTTTCTTGTAAGTTTAACAAATGACCAATTTAGTTGATATCTCTTTTACAAGGCTTTTTTCTGACATCAAAAAAACAACTTCAAAAAAACTTTTCGGAAATTATTCACTTAAAATAGACAATCCTACAGTTATTGCACATCGAAAGGCCCATAGATCCACCGAATCCTTCAATCCATATTGATTTGCTATGGGCAGATCCCGATAAATGGGTTCGAGGCTGGCAACAGAATACACGTGGTGTATCCTACGTTTTCGGTGCTGATGTGGTGAATGCATTCTGCCAAGATATGAACATTGATCTTGTCGCCAGGTTCCATTCAATTTAAATTTATAAAGCATAAATTAAGAATACATAAGAAGAAAAGTGTGGAGTTTATCGATTGAAAAATGCTTCGAAATTAAGCATAATTTCAATATCACTGATCATTCATCGAATAATTCGGGTGATTTTTGCTGACGGTGTAGGAAGACCCATAGAAAGTGAATGAAGCTACGGATTAAATTGTTCTAAAAAAGGCAAAAGATCACATCTGGGTAAATACGAAAACATTGTATCAAAAGCTGTTAGATCTTAATTTGAAATGATATTCTAGTAAGTTCTCGAAAATTATTAAGTTAAACGAAATTTGAATCAGTTGAAATCAATGTATACTTTACAAATAAATAATCGTTTGAATTTGATTTGCTATATGAATTCACTTTTTAAAAAAAAAGTTTTTCTGGTTCTAATTTCTGCCACAATAAGTTATTTTTCCGTCATTTTGAATTGTTCTTTTCACTAAAGAATGACTCTAAATAGAAATAAAAATTATCCATTTCAAAAGAAAAAAACGTACATTGCAATATCTCGAGAAAAACAAAATCGTATAATTGATTGTTTCAACATTATGAAAAATTCTTTAGAGCACATCAAGTCGTCCAGGATGGGTATGAATTTTTTGCAAATCGTAAATTGGTGACTATCTTTTCCGCTCCGCATTATTGTGGTGAATTTGATAATGCTGCAGCGATAATGACTGTGGATGATCAATTACTCTGTTCATTTGATGTACTTCGTTCTACCAATAATCCAATCCGTGTCTCACAATCTTAATCGATATAAATTTCAATTCATGTTCATTTCAATCCTAAAAAAAGTCATACATTCAAATAAATTTCAATTAAATTTCTTCAAATAGAATCGCATAGTTAGATATTGATCACTAAATTGAAACAGTCTTATTCATTTCAAAATAATAAGTAGAATGTTTCTAGGGACTGTTCGATTGTTCAATATAAATATATAATATTTAACATTTAATGCTTAATATTTAATGTTCGGAATCTACACTAGGTTAACTCCAATAACTTCACCTTCTGCTAAACTTTTTCATTAGCTAGTAACACTGTATCCTAACACTGTAAGCTAATAGTTGACATATGGGTACATGCTTCGGTATTTGAAAGAAACAAATCTGGCAGGTGTTAATCACTACTCCTCCTAATATAAAGTGTAGATCAAACATTTCTAATGATACTATATTAAAGGTTTGGTAAAAAGGGCGTAATTTGCCATAAAATTTTCAGTACTAATTCTCAAATATTGAAAATATCATTGGCGTAATGTTAGGTCCATTCTTGATCAATTCTAGACGAGATTGGAATGTTTTTATGGATGAAATCGAAAAGAGGCTGAATCGTCGTCCTCCTGGTTAGGCTTTGCGAACGAAGATATGTGAAGAGTTGTGCCCACGCTTGTTGCAGACGCACTGATGACTAAGAAAGCCAATGCGGAATAGACAAGTTCGGGTGCAAAAGACACGCTGGAATGTCTGCTAGGGCGGTATTGATGCGGTACAGTTTTTTCTGCGTTGTCCTTTGTCATCGAGGCTGGTTTTAGTGTTCTCGAAGAAAGCAGCAGCACGTTATTATGTCTTCATGCTTCCCGTTTCAAAGCATGGCGACACATAATTCGAAGCCATTGATGTACCATCAATCCATATCACCAAAGCTGAGGTATGATTTCAGGACGCTCTTTGGGACTTTATGCGGAAGCCGGTGGCCAATTCGCTATAGAGCACAATGTTAGAAAGGCGGTGATCCTGCATGCTGGAGACGAGTTCAGCCCAGCGCAACTGTGTCTTCAGTAGTATGGCTCAAGACTGGCGATCCCTGCCTCTGTGAGAACAGTAACATTGAATATGTATTCAAATCAATGGATGTTTAGGATTTGTATGGCGCTGGTGAAAGCGTTTAAGGAGTTACAGATGGTGGCGGTAGAGGGCCCATGGTTTAGAAACATATATAATAGAATAGACAATGCAATAGCTTTATAGACACTAATTTTGGTATTTCTTTTCAGGTGTTCATTGCACCAGATTCTTTAGGGAATTTCTCGAAGACTCCATATGTCTTTGTTAACCTGCTGTCAATCTCGTTGTCGATCTTGACGTGGGAAGAAGTGATGCTGCCCAAATAGTTGAACTGCTGGATTGACTTAAGCTCTAAACGCCTATGGTAATATGAGGATGAAAATGGACACGATTGATTACATGCGTTGCTGGTGAACTGTATCGAAAGCTGTTGAAAACGGAATTTATTCATTCCTGAACAAAGCACTCTAGATTTGTTTCTTTAGATTTGGTCACTAGTCTAAATATTGGATTTCTATTTTATCTATAAACAAAATATTTTAGTATTTCTGTCACTTCATCCATTAGAGTTTCATAATTACATCTTATGGAACGAATCCTGCTATTTTCTTTTTGCAATATTTGTATCCAAATCGCTAGTAATTTCTCGTTAAAACTTAACTTTATACTTCTGCAACTTATTCAAAAAAGAACTTTAAAAGCGGTGTTTGCATATTGATGGCTGATTTCACTGTCTTTCAAAATATGAGAAGAAATAAGCATGCAAAGTTACAAAATTAAATTGTTTTACAGACAGTCTCAAGAGGCGAGGAAGTAAATCAGTTTTTATAAAATTTTTATCAGTGATGCTGAGAGTTCATATAATGAAGAGCCAAAGCGAAAGAAAAACTAAAATAATTCTAACAGGAAATTCCGGAATATTTCGGACAGAAGAAACGGTGTTATTCTGGTACAGTATGAAAATGTACTCCAGTCCAATCCTGTTCCTACTTCACTTTTAAATGCTTTAGAAATCACAAGAAATTTCAGGGAAATTTTGTGTAATTTATCAGTAATTTTCATTGAGGATTAAAAAGTTGCTTTTACAAATGCTCTTATGCACGGTATTTACTTTTGATTTATTGACTTCCTTTTTCACATGCTTTCACAGTTTATTTCGTCCGTTTTAATACTTTCGATTTACTGCCAGGCCTGAAACCATCAGCGCATCCTATCGCAATATTTTTCTTCTCTACTACATTCCAAACAGGCACCAATAACAGTTGATCCCAAAAATGAAACTGAGATGAATAAGAATGAATTTTTATGTGATTTATCTATCAAAATGAATAAACAAATCTTGTTTAATTGATACAAAAAAATCCTGTTTAATTGATAATTAAATTGCATTTCTAATTGACAAGGCTTAATAGACAAAAGCTGACAAAGTTTAATATACTCGGATTAGGTATTTCGAATATGTCAAGAAAAAGAGCTTTCTGACTGTTTCATAAGCGAACATAAAAGCTTATTTCAATGAAACTATAATTATAATTCCTTATCTTTCTAGCACGCGTTAACTGGAGTTATTATAGGATTCATATTGAAGGTATCATGTAAAATCATGCATATGCCGCAAAAAGTAAAACCGAAGTGAAACTGGTTACTAACAGAGAGTATTATAGATACATCCTAGTAAATTATGCGATACATTATAGAGAATCTTATTAGGCTACCATAACACAAATTATAATAAAAATGTGCGACCGAAGACACTTTAAATTCAAACATTGAGTTTGATTCCAAAAACAAGATGATATCCGATAGATACAGTGCGAATATTTAACAGAGTTAACTGACAAAAAAAAAATGAAAAGCATGATCCTTTGGAGGTTTATTTCACAGTCCACATGACAAAAATGGAATTTTCGAGAAAAAACCAACCAATGATGAATTCGGTTGATCAAAATCAAGCGATTTTAAATAGTTAGCAAAAAGTTCATTGTTTGTTTTTTGGAAAACTGGTAGTCATTGAGCAAATTTCACAAATGCTACTAATAATAGCATTAATGAATGAGATATATCTGCCATAATCTCCACTCAAGCTTGTGATTACCTGTAAAAGTTTCGAAATTGAAAGGATTTCAAAAGAGCAGAAGACACTTCTACACGTTCTCCGATACTAACATCTTAGTGTTGATCGTTCAAATGAAGAATAATCGAATCTTCGCAGTAAACAGGAAGTGCTTGGAAAAAATGTATCACAGGACATACTCTGTGATACATTATTATCAGTCAAAAATAGGATTTTACGGGAGATCTCTTCAATTAGTATTCATTTGATTCTTTTTTTTCCTTTATTCCACAAGGAAATACTGTTGTAGATAAGAAAAAAAAAACCCCCCAAAATAAGGAAGTATATGAGAAGGAAATGTAATTAAAAGATAATGAAATGGAGAAGGTACTGAGATAAGATTTCAAAGGATATATTTTATATATTGAAAATGTCTGCCACTTTTTTCTCTTTTCCTCTCTTTCAATTATTTGATTAATTTCTTAGCTTTAAATGTGTCTGGAATTACTCAATTACTCTGTTAATTACTCATGAAGGTGCCCTATCTTTGCTATACTTACACTACTCAAACGATTTTGACGGAAGAGAGGATATTATACATACATGGATAAAATGGAAAGATGTTACCATCTTTCTTATCATTATTTTCTTTCTTAAGGAACTTTTTGAAAACTTTAATTAAATACTGTGATGATATGAATTATGGCAATATAATTCCATTCGTTAATAAACTCTCGTTTGATGTCGCCATAATTAGTTTGATTTTAAAAAATTCCAGTAATATCACATGTGAAATCTATGCTATTTATGGACACAGTATAATATTATATTTGCTAATATTTTTTAATTTGAGTAGTTTGATTAGAAATTCATCTACGTCAGCACTTTATTACAGTGAATCGCTAAACAGCAATAGTTATTGATGGTTATCATCAGATCCTGTTTGACAGTTATTTCAGCTTAAATAAAATTTGAGATTAGAATTGCGCATCTTATGAGAATAACTAAGAAGACATACAGTAATAGGTTGAGTAAATGGTAGCAGATAATTTCACGTATACATATGCAAAGGTGAAATAAACTGAATGGATGGACAGTTGGCATAATAATTGTCTTCTGGAAAATTGACACTTACACGTGTTTAGCATGCAATATTGCAGCACTATGGGACAAAATATCATACTGAATATTTAAGCAAGTCTGCTATGATTTATACTAGTAGACTTTTTTTTCCCCTAGATTATTTCACAGTTTTGGTAACAGTGGCAGTTGCAAGAACAAATGATTAAATTAGTTGCATCATAGCTCCTACAACTAAATTCTGTCATAGTGAGTCTAAGGGACTCCGTTCGACTGCAACCACAATATTTATTTAGCCAAGGAATTGCTTTATATTCATGTTTATGAAAATGTATGCAATTACTTCATAGAAATACTCCAATTGCCAGATGTTATGTTAATTTAATTGCTAAACACAAAATAATGTGATAATTGAATTTTGCTTTATTTACAAATAAGGATATTAAAATGACAAGAATGCGACAATCATTGCCCTAAACTGTTCCATTATTAATACGTCCAAGAGCAGCGATGTACCTCTAATCATTTATCATCATAGCTAAGCTTTGCGAACAAAGATTTGAGAAGGACTCTATGCACACTTGCTGCGAATGTTCCTAATGGCTAAAAACGCCAATGCAGGATAGGCAAGTCTGGTTGCAAAAGACACAGCGAAAGTCTTTATAGACGGCACCGGTGAGACACGTTTCTTTCTGTGTTTTCTCTTTCCCTGAAGCTGATTCCGCATGTGTTCTCGAAGAAAGCAATTAAATTGGGAAATCTCTGTATTTTTGGAAGTATCTTGCGCAACGCAACAGCAAAGGTGAGCTTCGTCACAAGATAAAATCCAAAGATTGCAATCACAAACCAAAAAGTGAAGAAGAATGTCATCCTGCTGTGTCAACGATTGCATGGATTGGTGCCTTTGATAGCGCACATTGCAAACAATAAGCACCAATATGATTCTATGCATAGTGATAGCATCCTACATACACAGATTACTTTTGTCGTGAAAGTTTTCGTTTGAATGTGCTGAATCGCCAAAGAAAGGGGTTTATTTCAGTAATAGAAGAATAGCAATAATAATAACAGCATTATTTGATAGCGAAATTAGATGATAGAATTCAAGTTACAGTCAATTTAACCGTCAGTCAAAGGTCAAATAGTACGAAACGAAGCAGGGGCTTTTGTAATCATCGATAGAGAAGTGTTAAATTTGGATGATCGAGTTAATGAAAGCTCCAGAATGAACCAGGATGCGGTTATTGGGGATTTTTATACTGCCCCCAAGTGGGTTGGGCTTAAGATAAGGTAATAGGTCCATTTAAAATTCTTACAAAGCCAACAATAATTTCACTGATACAAGAGATGTTTACATAGAAGATTAGATTTCTTTGTAGAAGGAGAAAATCGCCATAAATCATCTCAACATCAAAGGGAAAGATAATTTTACCGATTGACCTTATACAACAAATTGACCTCTAACAAAGGAGAAAATATTTACCAATTTATACAACAAATTGTTTACAACAAATTTTTTAGCTATTTGAACGTATTACCATTTCCTTCGGTTTTCCCGACAACTTTCAAATCTTAATCACCATCCAAATAGGTAAATACAAATTAGTATATTACAACATAGTCGTTTATGAACCTTTATATTTTACGTTCTCACCAAACTTCGTATTTGTTCGCGACAGCAGTGTTATGACGATGTGTCTCCATATCTCCCGATTCATAGACAAAGTGGATCACTGGTGGTAGTCTATATGGCCAAAGCTAAGGTATTGTTTCAGGGAGTCATTATATCTACTGTTTGGGGCTGTTCTGCGGAAACCGGTAGCGAATTCATCACAAAGCACATTTTAGTAAAACGATGATCCTCCACCCCGGAGACGTGTTCTGCCCAAAACAGCTGCGTTCTCAGCAACATGGCCTCAATAGTGGTTACTAGTGACTCTTCCTGTTCGAGAATAGCAACATTAGTTACGCGTCGGATCAGAGAGTGTTTGGGATTACATAGAGACGGCACTGGTGGAAGCATCCGAGGAGTCGCAGGTAATGGCGGCAGGTGACCCATAATTAAAACCTAGATAGTACAGCTCTTATACTATTCTGCTATTATACTATTATACTATCTGCTATTATACTATCTATTCTAATCTTTGCACTTCAAGTATTTATTGCACCAGACTTTTTTACGAAGTTCCCGAAAGCTCTGTATGCCTTTGCTAACCTATTGTCGACCTTGATGTACAAAGAATGATGCTGCCCAGAGAACTGAAATGTTGGACTGGCTTTAGGCATAATTCGCCTACGGCAATATGAAGATGAACGTAGTCTTCCTGTGGTGCAGGCTGTAAAGAACTTCTGTCTTCTTCAAGCTGACTTCCACCTCAGAAACCTCAGTATCCCATGCAAAGCAGGATATTGAGCGCTGTAAATATGTATGCAAAGATGGCGGCATTGCTCAGTAAAAAGCAGTTCGCTAATGAAGTAATTTAGAGTGCGTCAAATTGGAAAAATTTGGAATATTTTGCGCAACAACATACCACAGTTGCAGGATTTTATAAAAATTTTATTTTTTATTTACTTTCACCTCAAACTTGAGCTATTAAATCATCAAATAAAAGAAAAAGTATGAAGAATTATAAAACGCAACGCATAAAGCTCAGCTGCATATTATCGTTATGAGATTAATTTTGAAGAGACCAATCTGGAGAACAAAAGAAATTACGATAACAAGAATTTAGTATCTTTGTTAGCGTCAGTTAATAAAGCGTTCTTTGTTAGCGCACATTTGGTATAGCCTTTTGTTGACACACATTAGTGTAGCACCCGCAATATACAATGGTAAACAACGAGTAGATATACAATTCTATGCAGTGATAGCACCTATATACAGAAAAGAATTTGAATGGTTTTCAAATCATTAATTTGATACTTAATAATAATGACAGTATATCACTTGACTTAATAATAGTATATCACAACATATTCACTTATGAATTTTATATTTTTTTATAACGGAACTTTTTTGCGTTTATTTGCTACCCTTGATGTAGATCTGTCGCCTTAGATGAACAGGGATATCGGATGCAAATGCCGTTTTCTTCATTGAAACCTACCGTGGCCCTTTGACCCTTATGCTAAAAAGATTGCGAATGGAAATGGTGTGACAGGG